CCACTTTTTTAATTGCAATAAAAAATTTAAAAAATGAAGAAAAATCAAATAAAAAAGATAATATATGATTGATAATTAATACCATACCAAAATTTTAGAAAAGAAATCAACTTAACAAAACAAAGCAATTTTCTATAGTACTTTCAACATCCTATTTTTTTAAAAATGAATGTGAAAAAATATTCCATGTTAAATAAAAACAATCAATTTTACTTTAGATTATAGAAATAACATAAAATATATAAGTAATGAAAAATATATGATAATTGAAAGATATGAGATGTAACCCACTTTTTTCTTCTCTAAAGTCTCTTTTTGGTACTCCCTCCGTCCCTATTTAGTTGTTCATATTTCCTCTTTTAGTTATTCCTATTTTAGTTGTCCATTTTGACAAATCAAGAAAGGACGATAATTTTTTTGCTATTATACCCTTATTTAAATAAAGTTGTCATAAATAAAGTAAATAAACTTATGAACTTCCCAACATTGATTAGTTATCTTGAGTGAATTTATTTTGGAATTGTAAATTGTACTATAAGGCTAAAATTGTAACTTCACTTTGCTAATCATTGTTGCCTTAATCTGTGTGTCATTTCTAAAGTGGACAACTAAATAGGGACGGAGGGAGTTGGAACTTATGTGTTGGTTGGTTGTATTTTCTAAAATATTACACCTTGTTTGGATGGTTATTATATGTTATATTATATTATTAATTTAAATATATGTTTGTTTTAATTGTTCTATAAATTTTATTGTATCATATTATTTATATTTATTGTTAGATAACGACAAATACAAATAATATATATAACTGTAAATTGACCATCGGATAGTGAATTTGAAAGGATAAAATATAAAATAAAATTTTGAATGTACTTAACCGTCATAATGTTAACAAAAAAAACTCAGTCATAATCTATATATAATAATAAAGCTGAATATGAAAACGATGACGTGACGCTCTCTAAGGACTTGAATCCTATTTATCTTTTTTGTGATTTTTTTGGCACTTTTTTAATTTTGAAAGACATAAAATTTTACTTCAAAATTCTACAAAACATTAAAGTGCCATTTTTAATTTCTATCGTTATTAAGGCTATTAATATCTTTTCCTAAAATGGAGATTTACAGAATGTTGGAAGTGGCCATATTTATTTTGTTTCATTATTAATGTTACTCTTCTCTTTTTTATAATATATTTCTTAATTTCTTCTTTCACGCTTTATTTATATTATTTATATCATTTCCTTAAATCACTTATTTTCTTTTATTTTGTTTATGTTATTTATAGTATCATTTTCTTAAATCACTTTTTTTTTAATTCAATGTAAGAAATCTATATCTTTATATAATATAAAGTTATTTCTTTTATCTTCTTCATATGTGTTTTTTCCTTTTTATTTATTTTTTAATGTATCACCTCCATAACTTATATCTACTAAACTTCCTCTCTTAATAATATCATTAACTCCATGATTTTTAAGTTTTCATATTCATAACCCCCAACTATTAAATTATAAAATTTAAGATACCTTATGATATTTCTTCATTTTGTGTCCATATAAATTCACAATTTTAATTTATTCACAGAGGAAAAAAGAGAGAGGAGAAAATGATAGTAATAAATTCAAGGAGGTATTTAAGGAAATGAAATAAATGAGGAAACTTACATTTTTTACTTGAAAGAAGATGGAAGAGAGAGCGAGAGGGTTTTGATGAAATTGATCATCAACTACTGAATTTGAAAAGGCAAAATGTAAAATAATAATTCAAATGCAATTTAACACCATAATTGTATAATAACTATTTTTATGATTGGAGAAATGAAGTGAAGAAATTTTATAGGAAATCTAAATAAAAATTTGAGAAAATGGTTAAATTATTATTCAATCGATATTAACATTCTATATTATTACGTGATTTTCTTCCTTATTTAATACTCATAATTATGTAAAGAATTTTAATAATGGATATATTAAGAAAATTTTATTTAGAGAAAAAATGACAAGAGATGCATTTTAAGGAAACAAAATAAATGACAATAATGACGAAATTATATTTTTTGTTTAAGGAAGATGTAAGAAAGAGAAGAAGAGGGATAGATTTGAAGAAATGTAATAAATATCAATAATTAATAAGGAAAGACATAAAAAAAGACAAGTTTTTCTTAATCAAAAATTTTAAAAAAAATCAAAATTCCGAAAAAAAGGGATAAATAATAATATTGTCCAATAAGACATGTCACCTTACTTTTTTTATCATTTAACTTTAGTATTATATATAGATATAGATTTTTAGCCGAAGAAATGATCTAAAAAAATTAAAATGATAAATTATATTCTAATAAAAAAAAATAAAAATACAACGCATATAAAGTTATAATACCTAATTCCTTAAGTTAAATAAATTCTTAAAAAAAAACACAAAAGAAAGAAAAAATAGAGTGATTTAAGTATTAATGATGAGATAATTGAGAAATGGAAAAGAGATTTAATAACATTAATGATGAAAATAATTAAAATATGACTACCTTAAATATAAAATAGTAAGGTAAAATATGACTACCTTAAATATAATGGACTTACCCACTATATCTAACACACACAAAAAAAAAAGACAAATTCCTTTGAGGTGAAATCCTATCAATTAATAAATACAAAAATAAAATGTAATTCTAACATTTGAGTTTACTTTTGAAAACGTTTTTCTATCTATGTTTTTCTACTTGTTTGAATCATTTAAGATTCTTAATTATTTTAGTAGCCATATATAATGAAATGATCTTAACTATTAAATACTATTTGAAAACTTGACAAAAATTAATTGTGTCCCTGAACAATACTGAACAAATTTGTAGCGGAGGGGATCTCAATATATATACACACATGTTCATTTATCATGGTATTATATAATATAAATTTTAGGTTTCTTTCTTGTAACTAATATTTGCATGATATCTTTTCCCCAATACGTTTATACAACATCCTAATAATCTAAATATTGGATATTTAATGTTACATAATAAACTCATTTCATGCGAATAATCATAATATATGTTATTAGGAAAAGAACACCTATATATACATAATATAACCTATTA